GCAGGAACCGAAACCAAGTAACTGGAAAAACACTGAGAGAACTAAACACAGGAGGAGAAAAACTAAATAGGAATCACAGAGTCAAAGCACAACAAAACACAGATCCTGATTTTCTTACTGTTGATTTCATTCATTCATTCAACCTTTATTTATACAGGTTAGTCTCATTGAGCCTCGGGGACTCTTTTACAAGAGAGACCTGTTTTTAACAAAGAATGATGACAACAGTAGACAGTCATAAAAGAAAGCAAAAAAAAAAACCAAGTGTTGTAAGCTCAATCATCCGAAAGGTAGATAACAACAAAAATGGCTAAATCATGTCATCTGGACCTGTTTCTTTAAGTGAAGAAACGTTTCGTCCCCCATCCAGAGGACTTCGTCAGTCTGCGGCCTGCCAACCAGATCCATTCCATAGCCTTCATTGCTGTGTTTCAAGCCAAGCTCCTGTTGGAAAGCATATGCTTAAGAAAGCATATAAATTGGAAAAGTAAATAGAAGATGATGTTAAAAAATGAAACAAAAACTGCTACAAAAACAACCACATTGATATTATTTATTGAGAAGAGCATGGCCATAGCTCGGCCTACTCTTCCACTTGGGCAGTTCGTCACCTCTTACTTGGTTCATCTAACAGAGTCATGGGAGCTTGAGTGTTCTGTTCAGTATCTTAACTCTTCCTTGACCTGCTCTATTCTGGACAGAGATCTCCGAGGTTGTTCCTGGATCTGTTGGAGTCACTCATAGTTTGGAGGTCACAGCAACGACTGCTCCAACGACCACTGGGACCACTGATGCTTTGATGCCCCACAACTTCTGTATTTCTTCTTTCAGCCCTTGGGATTTCTCCAGCTTCTTGTGCTCCTTCTTCCTGATGTCACAGTCACTTAGGATTGTTACATCTATCACCACTGCCTTCTTCTTTGGGGCGGCTGTGGCTGAGTGGTTAGAGCAGTCGTCCTCCAATGCGAGAGTTGGGGGTTCGAACCCACCAGCAGTCACATGCTGAAATGTCCCCGGGCAAGACACTGAACCCCTCATAGCCTCTGATGTGTGTCCCATCAGTTCATGAATGTGATCTAAAGCCCTGATTAGTCTCTTTAGAATGATTTGTTCAATTAGCTTAGTAGAGATCTAGTAGAGTGTTGTATGAATGGGTAATGTAGTGTAAAGAGCTTTGAGTATCTTGAAATAAGATAGAAAGGCGCTATATAAGTACAGTCCATTTACCATTTACCATTCTGATGATTAGCCATCACCTGTTTGTGAGTCTGGATATGGAAGTCTCTCAGTATCTTAGCCCTTCCGTTCTCCACCACCCTTAGTTGAATCTCCCACTTTGACTATGGGACCTCCAGTCCATACTCGGCACAGATGTTCCTGTATATTATTCCAGACACTTGGTCATCGATGTATGTTTTGCCTGCATGGATCTTACACCCTACTATTATGTGTTGGACTGTCTCGGGGACATCTCTGCACAGCCTGGATCTTGGGTCTTGTCTGATATGGTAGACCCCAGGCTCCATTGCTCTTGTGCTGAGGGCCTGTTCTTGTGCATGCCTCTGTGCTGTCCTTCAGTCCAGCCCTCTCTAGCTACTGGTAGGATTTATTGATGCCAGTCACAAATTTTGTAGGGGTTTCCCCATCACACAGATTATTTAACCAGAACCAGTTTTGTTTCCATGATTTGTAATCCTAATTTACATGCTGACAAACACAATGAGCTTGTTTTGATAGGTATAAAGCATAGCATATTTTCTGTCTTTGAAATATGTGTTTAGTGAGTCATCTTAAAAACATTTATGCACGTGATTTTTACTTTCTATTTATTTCGAAGAAACTCACTAAATGAATCAACCGCTTTTAAAAATGAAAAGTGTGGAATATATGATGTAATCTTCAAGTTATTTCACCCACTGGGTTGGGAGAGGCTGGTTTCTGTGAGGCGAATAAACAACAGAAATGAATCATTGTTGTTGTGAAAGCTGGAGCTGTTTCTTTTTTACTTTTTCTTTTTTTTTTTTTTTGGTTTTCTTCCCCTCTTTCTTTTTGCCGAGCTTTGCTTCTGGCACTACTTGCTAGCACAACGAGTCCTCAGAAGACACAAATATTAATTTATGAGTATGAAAATTATGGGAAAACATAAAGTAGAACCACATTTTGAAAAGATCCAAATAGAAAAATATTTATTTTGCATTTTTCAAATGCGTTTGCAACAACAGTAGATTTGCGCACAAGGCTGCCTCGTTCCAAAGGATCAAAGCACATAAACATCTTGGTTAACCTAAATATAACTTATTATTTGCTTCACCCACATATTTTAAATGCACTCAAACATATATATTTTTTTAATTTTTAAAATTGTACACCCATGTTTAAAAACACGTTTTCACTTATTTTAGTGACTTTCACAATACTGTTTGGAGGGAGGACGAGGTGGAGCTCTTGAAAGAGCTGCCTGTGAAGAGGAAGAGGCCTCTAGCAGATTCAACAGCAGGAAGGGCGGCCGTTTGCCTCGACAGAACAGGAAAAGGAGACAAACCAGTACAAGAAAAGAATCCCACAGACCACACATACTGCCAGGACAATAAAGGATAAAAAACACAAAGCAACAATAGCCCAAACATTGTAAAAAAAAAAAAAAAAGGAAAACAAAAGAAACTGTTGATTGCAGTCACTATAATGCAGCTGATTTCAGACATACATTTCTTTTTAGAGCATTGACTTTGAATAACAAAAGTTTTGAGTCAAGTCTTATTTGGCCCAATCACCAAAAGTATTTTTACTTATCTATTTTTTTGCTTCAAAGGAGCCAAAAAAAATTATCTACTATCCTTATACAGTGGTCTTGAGTGATGTTTTTACATTATTTTCTAGACATTTATTGCAAATTTGACTTGAATTGTTTCTATAAAAGCAGTGGCTTGCCTAATGGAGGATGTAATTAAACTACTGTGCTTAAAAATGTTACAGAAAATAAACCCGTAAATCTTAAAGTCATTTCTTAAATTCATGGGGGGAAAAGGAATCGGTGACATAGGGAAATCATACTATTGCTAAAATACTATTATATGTTTTAAACTTAGTTAATTAAATATTTAATTGATTCAACTAAAGCAGGGTTATTGAACTAAATTGCTCAGGGTGCCACAGTTACTGGAAGCCAAGAGTTCAGGGGTCGGACATGCAGCAATTATGCAGAACTACCTGTAATAGTAAAAGTTGACTCTTTGTGACAGCCTGAACTAAACAAATTAAACCTGCTTCTTTTTAATCCTACTGATTTCACAAATCAAATGACTTTATTTATTTTTTCTCTTAGGCTTGGCCTCTTTTTGACTGTTTGTGTGTTTGTTTCTCTAGTCATCTGTTCCTGGCCTGTTCAGAATCCGTTCTGCAGAGTTTAGATCCTTTACGGTCTCGTCTTATCTGAGTCCGTGCCCTGCAGCGTCTCTTGTCTCATCCCACTAGTTAATTAAATAAAATAAATCTTCTCAACATGTATCTGGATTCCTCTCGTCACTTCACACTGTATATTTTGTAGATGGGCTGTAAAACAAAAAAAATAACATTTCTGAAAATAAATACATAAATCACAGGTTATGTTCAAGAACTGAACTAAAAATCTGTGGAAATGTCAACAAATATCTAAAGAAAATCTTTGAAAGGCCTTTGGAAACACTGAAGAAGTGCTGCTGCAGATTACTTCATGAACCGGTTAAATGATTTTGTTCCTCTGAAGTTAAATGTAAAGACTTTTAAACTGTACCCTTCATCTATAAAGCACCAGAATAATCTCTACAATTGATATATGACCACATAAAGATATTTTTCTGATTAAATGGAGACGTAAAAATCTAATATTTCTACATTTCATGCCTTCAGGTTTAATGCAGGTACCAGTTTACTTCAGCAGGTGGCACAGTTGTATCATTTAGTGGGATGCAATCTGAACTGCTTCAGGCACGAGACAAATGTATGTCCACATATTTTGTATTTATCTATACAATAAATCTAGACGTTTTTTTAAACAGCAAACTATAAAAATGTTGAGTGAAGAGCCACTTATTGAGAGGACACTGCGATCAAAGTACAGCAGAGCTGCTCATGTCCAAATTCAAGGATTCAAGGATTATTTATTGCCACAATGTGGTACATGAGGTGGAATGAAACTATGTACACAGTTACATCCAACAATATGAATACAAAAAAAAAAAATACAAATACAAAAAAAATGGAGAATAAACAGCGTTTCTGAAGACAGAGGTGACCTGTAGCTCAGCGTCCTAAGCCTTCAGCAACACAAAGGAAGGACTCACTCATGGCTACCCTAATCAGCTCTAATTATATGTATTTAACCTGATCTTAAATGATCATCTGCCTCCTGGTTTCAAACACAGAGAATCCTGACTCACAAGACAAAAAAATCAAGTTGATCAGTTAATACATTTTTTTTTAAAGTCATCAAAATTTCCTTAAGTTTTATTGGTCATTGGTTGTTTTTAAATGAATTGTTGTCTGCATAAGAATCTACACAATTTACATGCATTTTCTGCTGTCATACCCCATTTCTTTTCACATGCAGCTTCTTGCAGATCTGGAAAACAACAAGATGTTCTCAGATGATCTTGAGTGTCAGAAGCTGCTGATGGAGGCCATGAAATACCACCTGCTGCCTGAGCGTCGCCCCATGTTCCAGAGCCCAAGAACAAAACCCAGAAAGTCCACCGTGGGGGCACTTTACGCTGTAGGAGGGATGGATGCTACCAAAGGTGCTGTTGTTTTATTGCTGACTCAACATTCACACTGTTTTCCTGTTTTTTATTTTTATTGATTTTTTGTACATTTTTGGAGTCCAAACACTTCTGCGCGCTGTGCACTAGTTTAATTATTCATGTCTCAAAACATTCAGCCCCATCAGAAAATTGGTGTGACTAATGACGTTTCTCTTTTTTTTTTTATACTTTTTAAAATATTTACATTTATTTGCAAAAATTTTCTCCATAGATATGCTTTACCTTCTTTTGCTTTTAGCTCTTTTTTAGCGTGTAGCTAGCCTTTTGCTACTTTTAGTCTTTAGCTACCATTCTGTTACTTTTAGCTAGTCTTTTGCCAATTTTAGCTTTTAGCTACATTTTATCTATTTTTAGCTTTTCACTAGTTTTTCGAAACTTTTATCTGGTGTTTAGCAACTTTTACCCATCATTTTGCTACAGTCAGCAGACATTTAGCCGTTGTTAGCTTTTAGTTTCTAGTTAGCTTCTTTAAGCTTTAATAGCTCAGTTTCAGCTGTTTCAGCACTCATGCTGCATTTTCTCAGAAAATGTAATTTCTCCAGTTTAAATTGTAAGAGGCACTCTGTTGTTGATTTCAGGCTCCACCACCGTAGAGAAGTACGACTTGCGGACGAACACCTGGGTCCAGGTTGGAGCCATGAACGGACGGAGGCTGCAGTTTGGCGTGGCGGTGATAGATAATAAACTGTATGTGGTTGGAGGGAGAGATGGACTCAAGACATCTAACATGGTGGAATGCTACAATCCGATCGCCAAAGTGTGGTCAACTATGCCTCCAATGTCCACACATAGACACGGACTTGGTAAGACTTGCCCATTTTTCAATTTATTGACTTTTTTTAAACATTTTACTTGGCCAAAACTAAAACACCAAAAATTTTACAATTAAGCTATTATTATTATTAGCTAATATATGATTGCTTCGTTGGAGTCGGTTGAGAAATTATCATCTGCTGCCTTAAAGGTAGATAATCATGAAATTGCATGTGTTTGTGCATGTGTCTGTTTATCTGCTTTTTAGCAAAATATCTCATTAACCAGGAGATGGATTTTAAAGGAGCTCTCACTAAGCAATCACTTGATGTACATCAAAATTCATGCTCAATAATCCAGGTTAAAAAATCCAACAAGGTTCAGTCAGGTCATCTGGATGGTTTCTTTTTTTTGTTGTAGAGACATTTCATCCTTCATCCGAAGGACTTCATCAGTCCTGAGCTTGTTGGTGGCTCCTTAGATTGAGAAGTCCTCTGGATGAAGGACAAAACGTCTAAACATATAAAGAAACCATCCAGAATTACTGAACTTTGAAGGATTTTTCTACCTGGATTATTGAGCATGAACTTTGATGTTTGGAACCATTTTGGCTATGGCTGCCTCAGAGGAGTCAACAGGGGAGAGGGTGGACCCCAGAAACCATCTTATCACCAGCAAACTGGTCGGTCCACTATTGGAGTGTGCTGCTTGTGGGACTGAGTTTGTTAGTGGCTCTTCTGACTGATGAAGTCCTTTGGATGAAGGACGAAACATCTCAACAAAAAAAGAAGCCATCCATATGACTGAACTTTATTGCACTTGATGTACAATAGTCCCTCATTTATCACGGGTGTTAGGTTCCAGCTTCCTATGCTATGTTTATTTTAGTATTTATACATATTTTAAGGCTTTAGAAACTCTTCCCACACTCTTGCAACGTTCTAAACTCTTAAACCTACGTCATTTTAACAACATACGTACTACTGTTGTAGCTACAACATTTTTCTCACCAGTTCTGCAGAATACAGCAACAGCTCTTGGTTCCACTCAGTTCTGCTCCGACTCTGTTCTGTTCCTGCAGACTACCCTGCAGTGATGAAGCCAGTAGTCAGTCTTCTGAACTCTTAAACCTACTAAGTTTAACAACATACATATATGTAGCTACTAAATTTAACTTACCCGGCTCTACAGAACAGGAGCGGCTCAGTTCCGGTCCAACCTGAGAGATGAAAAAAGTCCCGGTGCAGCATGGCTGAAGCTTACCGCCCCATCCAGCTTGATGTGCTTGTGCTGCCACTCCAGGAAGGACAATCTGTGCACAATGCTGCCCAGGATTTAGTCCACCACCTCTGGCCCGGTCCAGACCAGCATCTCATGACCAGAATCAGGCTGAACCCCTGCGCAGTCTGTTTTCTGCAGCCTCCAGGATCCGGGTCACACTGAGACTGGATCAACTGCAGCCCAGATACTCACCAGTGAATGAGTTCAGAATTATTTGTGACTTTCCTGCCAGTTCTGCGAGCTTACAGTTCTTCTGACTTTGCTGCAAAACTTTCCCTCCATTTGCAGAAAGCAGTGGTTGGAAGCAGTGTTGACTTCTGGGAAGTTAACTGATGTCTTCTGGGTAACAATTCTTTAGACTAGTAAAACAGTGAATGATTATTAAAAGAAAACTGCAAGAAGGCAGGGCTGGAAGCAGTGTTGGCTTCTGGGTAACATAGTTCTTTAGACTGGCAAAACAGTATATGCTTATTGAAAGAAAACTACAAAATGACAACACTTTTTGTGGTACAGTACAATATTATGTACTGTACATCCACAAACCATGATAGAGCGAGTCCATGACAGTTGAATCTTGAAGTAGTGAGGGACTACTGTATACATGATTCAAGATGGCTGCCACAACGAATCAACTTTAGTAAATATCAAAATGGCTATAACTCAAATAAGATTACAGGTACTTAGCTAAAACTTGATGTGGCAGTAGCTGAAACTCAACCCCGTATTTGCCGAGTGCTGACAGATTGTGCAGTGGGTGACATGCATTCCGTCAAGGACAATTAGTTTCTTGTTTAAATCATAATTTGGTTTATGTAGCATAAAATAAAGGAGTAAAACACAAATACCTGGCCATATGTATATGTATATGTATATGTATGTATATACTTTGTATGTG